ATCTGTGAATAAGCTGTACCCTGACTTAGATCTGCCCAGAGGTTGATCATCTCACTTGTTTTAACTAACACACACCTCGTTACTTGTCACAAGAGGAGATGAGAAATCCAAAGAATTCATCTCATCGAGAATCGCATTGACGTTAGTAAAAAACACATCGTCATTAGATTTCTGTAGGTTGAAGATACGAGTCGCTGCTCGATGCCAACGTAGGGAATCATCCTCGAAATACATGTTGTGTCTGTCCAGATATTCGTCTTCTTCTTAAAACTTCTAGAGGTTTTTCTTTGACAATTTGACTCAGTAGTGACTCTGTGTCAACTCATACCTTTTATCACACACTTAAAGGCTGCGKGAATGCTTTTTTGGAGTGCCATTGAATGAATCCCGAGGCAAAAATTGGACTGAAAAATCTTGTTTAAAAACTTGTGCTYAGAAGTCAACCATTTTGATTTTTGAATTACCGCTAAATACAATGAGCGCGGGCAATAAACCACAGGATCCCCGCGCAAGGATGCAACTTTCTTTTGGCTTGGAACGACTTCCCTAGCTACTGTTGCTATGACCCACATCAATTAAATAAGCATCAGCAACATTTTTTCGGAATTTAACTTTGTTAAAGAGTTTAAAACTACAATACTTTAGTTTTACACACCAACTAATCATCATTTCGTAAGTTTGCCATGCTTGACCATTCATTATCTACCGGAGGGGAGGAGACTGAGAAAATGGAGGGACAAAAATGCTTGCGATTCAACCTTGAGAAGGTCATGAACTACGACAATAGGTTATTAATGGGGAGGGCTCCTTGGGATTTGCTACTAAAACTTCTTAAACTAAATGAGGGCTCTAAGTTATTTTTCACCGCTTTTGTAAAGTTGCATGGAAAGACGTTCAAAAATTTAAATTTTACCATTTTCTCAGTTATCCATCTCCCATTATAACGAGCGGTTCCTAAATATTTATCAACTATTCTCCTTTTACGAAAAATATCCTTGTCTGTCATTGTCATAAGTATTTAGAACGGACGTGTGACGCGGAGTATCTTCTAGACGGTCTGTCTTGAGCCGTGTTTTTGATTCTCATCAGTCCAATACCTTTTGAAACAATCGGTGATGGAGTCCTCGGAGTCTCTAGTTTGTCTTCCTCATCAGCGTAATCCAAAGGAAGACTAAATCTAACTTCTTTGCGAGTCCTATTCAACGTGGGAGTTATCGCGGAATCGCGTGGTGTTTGTGTTTCGTGATCACGCAAAGGCGTTTCGTTTCTTTTTATTGGAGGACAGAGAGAGCTTGTACTCAAAGATCTACCGCTGCTGAAACGACCCAAACGTTGATCGCTGTTTGCGAGTTGATAAGATGGTTTTGTAACGAAGGGATGATTTGAGTCTTGTGGTCTTGTGGATGTAGCGATGCGTCGTTCTTGTTCTTTTGAATTAACTGTTATTCTCTGTCGGTCCTTTTGTCGTACCGGCGCACTAGCTGCTCTCGTTTGAGACGCAGTTTTCAGATCCGGAAGACCAGCTTTCTTTTTCGACTCTCCAAGTCGATGCAGAAAAACTTGCGCATCTTTGTTAATCTCTCGTATCCTGAGACTCTTATCTCTGTCAAGCTGCCTTAACGCAAGCTTGAGTCGAGTCTGATGAACAACGTTACGTTTCAAAGCTGCCGCCTCGTCCGCAGAAGAAGCCATCACTGCTCTTCGTTGCTATACAGCACACCAATCGTGGAGCTACCGTACGTGCTTTCCACTCATTCGTCACTGAGACGCACGTAATTTAAAGACTTTGCTCAACCAGTTCACTGACCTCGTTTTAACTGGTGCGTTTTAATTTTACTTCATATCAATTTTCTTTGTTACCATGACACAGCGTGTCACCGTTAGATTCCCTTGGGTCCTCATTCAAGTAATTTGGCCTTCAAGAAGAATTAGCCTATAGCAAGTTAAATAAACATTGGATTCGAGTACCTTTTGTTAAAATAATCTTGTAATTATGCTTAACTAAGCGTTTAGTTCATTTATGTAAAGTTGTATGGCCTTGCTCGCCTTCAACAGCATCATGATCAGATTTCTTGGGTGATTCGCGGGTTAGATTTGGGTCAAGTCTTTGGCGACAAATAGAAAGGCTCAGATWCGTTTACTATGTAACTTAACTTTATAAGGCATATTAATATTACCACTGATTGTTCGTGATTGTTTGCATGAAAAATAATTATCAGTTGGAATTGAAGTCATAACTGAAATAAATTATCAAAAATTCGATGACAAAGATTTTTTTTAAATTCAAAAATATGACGTGGAGAAAGCACGGATTGTCATTGCCTTTTGCTGAATCGGATACAGATGGAACGATATATTCCAAATATGCGTATGTTTTTTCCTAATATTAGTTTTGCTAAGTACGTGTCAAGTGTTGATTGTGTAACGATAACAATTCAATTCTTACTTAAACAAGAATTTTATGAATAGCATTATCAATAACAAAAAGTATTCATTCTCAGTTTCGATATAGGAAATAAACCTTGTTGGAGATAAAAGCCAAAATATAATAGCTCTAAATAACTGCAAAAAATTGTTTCCTGTTATTATCAGAATTTTTCTGTAAATGATATATTTTATTTCACTTAAAAACTGTATTAACATAAAAGAAAGAATCAAGCGAGAGGCCATACGCTGCCCAGTTATAAGACCTCAATTTTGATCTTCATTCCAAGCTTGCGTGAAATGTATTACGTCACACATTTTTTCTTGGTCTGACCTAGTTTGTTCAAAAACACATCCCACATGGAAAGGAGCAGACTTGGCTCTTTAGACTTCAGTGAAAAAATTGCAAAATTAGGTATGCTGGTCATAGCAAGGGGTTAATCATGCACGGTCTAGGGGCCGACTAACCTCTCCCTTAGGCTTTTGCCGAGCTTCCTGATCAGTCTGTAATTCCTCCCGGGGATAGCGGTGTTGGGGTCGAAATCTCTGGCATAGCCGTAAATGCTTTGCGCTGCCATACGACGCTTCAGCATTCGGGTCTGGGAGTATGGTCTCCGGTTATTTTTATTTAATCAAAGGAAAAATAAAGAGGCTAACCGGCCCTTAAACCGTACCTACAGCTTATTCTTAACACTGTGATGCGCTTCAAATATTCAAGTCCGGTGCTGTGTTTTCACTGCTCTTCTTGTACAACCATGGCCCAGTGGAAAAACATAGGCTTCAGTTGGGTCAACCATTATGGGCCATGCAATCTGAATGGTGAGGCTGACGTAAACCCTTAATTTTTCAAAAATAATGACCCCACCCCACCCCCCTCCTCCACACACACACACACACACACACACACACACACAAACATCTTCAAACAGAGTCGTCTCTTCGAATCCAGTTTATTTTTACGCCACGATTTACTTTTCCTTTTATATACAATAAATGTTGATATTTTTCGTAACGCATTTTATAGCAAGAGGCTTACACATTAGGCAAATCTCTAGTTCCACAACTATATCAATCTCTTGCGCTCTTCCTTTGATCACTAGCGAATCTAATAACCTTGAAGCCAATATCGTATAAGACATTTAAATAGCGAGAGAAAGGAAATTGTGTTGAGAGTTTTGATGGTTAGGTTAGAACATTTTTTCATATTTTCACTAACTCCACAATTTCTTAAAGTCGGATTTTTTTGGCTTTAGTCAATTCATTATCCCACGGAAGAAGAAAAAGATATAAAAAAACGCGTTTGGATTTGCCTGAATCACAGCCATAAAAAAGTCACTATAGCTAAGCATAGTGAGCCTCATATGACGTCACAGCCATCCCATATCGCTTTGCGTCTATTAATCCATATTTGGACATCGGATATTTTTTCTTATTCACTACTGTTGCTATCATCTGCTGTCCCATTCTTGTAAAATTCCATTACTGAATATTAAGTTTCGTGTTGGATAAGCGATGACTGTTTCTTCTGGCGAGGAGTTTGCAGTTGACGTGAAAGCTTTATGGTCTGAGGTTTCGTGTGTTACGTTATTACCCTGAAACAAAAAAAAACCCATAAAGATTAAGATCGATACGACATGCTATAAAACTGAAATGGCTTTCCAWAAGAATGGTTATCGTATGAGTGGGAAACATACGGTACTGACTTACAGCACGTACACAGTGCGACGTGCTATAACACTGAAATGGCTTTCTAGAGCTGTTTTCACGAGTGGCAAATTCGTAGGGATAATGCCGTACCGTAACCGTGTAACTGCGTGTTATGATAGGATAAATTATTCGAACACAATTACTAACTCAGGAGGTTGGAAATTTGATGACGGAAGTCAAAACACAAGAAAAAGTGCCGCGACTGGAGTTTCCTGTGTCGCAGAAGTATGGTGTAAAATGTAAAACAGTTTCAAAATGAAAAGACTGATTTTATCTACAATAGTACCTTATGAGCCTCGATGAAGTCCAGCAGAGTCAAAGTCAACGAACGACTGGACTGAACAAGCTGTTTGAGACTGAAGGCAAAGAGAAAACATGTTAGAGGTGGGGTGAGGGGGAGGGGGTAGGGAGGAAGGGGTGACYCTGAAGGGACCCTTACTTTTGTACTAGGTATTCAGTATTAGGGGGCTAGAAAGCAGTTGAAGGGTTACGACGGACCAGTTTAAGTCCCCTAGATCATGGGATGACGTTACGCCTGATCCATGACGTCATGATATAAAAAAAGACGTAGTGGTGTTGATAATTGATTAGCCTTATAAGAACTTTACATACCTATCGTCACTGAACAGTCCATTAGAAGAAATCTGTAGAAAGAAAGAAAAGATAGGATCAAATATAACGTAGCAAAGAAAGGACGAAAAGAAGACGAACAAACATCCATCGAACAAACAGAATGTAATTGCTCAGTTTTACAGAGTCAGAATAAGACTTTTTTTAGTTGTATCCATATTGATATTAAACAAAGAAATGATACTCTAGGGAATGATACATGGCCTGAAAAGGGAAAACATTAAGCCCCAGCTAAAAGGGTCTCGAATTCAAACAACAAATACTCCAGTTTCAAGTTGTCTGTTGCTCAGAGTTAGCCTCGATTTTGTGCAGAACATTCATGTGTTCCAGTGAAGGGCGGTTGAATTCCAAAGTGTTTGTATTGTTGAAGTTGTGCATTCTTTACTTTTCTGTTGGTATTTGTGAATATTTAGACACTGATACAAGGCTAAGCCTGAGTAAACGAGTATGCAATCAAGGAACACAGCGGTAATTTGGAACCCATTCAGAGACTAGCGTGTCCGCATTTCTCACCTTCTGACAGATCCATTCACTGAGGTCGCTATCGAATAGAGGTACCCCATAGCATAAATCCAAGGGTACCCAATCATCAGGCGAACAGCATGGCCCTATACCACCTTCTTCCTGTGGCCTAATACGGTCAGTGACAATGACCATGTCATCAGACGATCTACAATCCAAGTTCCTATCTCCATTGACTTCATCATCTTCTATGTCATCAAGACATTCATCAAAACTCATAACTGAGCCATTGGTGGGTTCAGAGGGAGAGGCGGTCCTTGAGGTCTCCTCGCTGCCATCTGGGGAGAGTTTGGATGTACCTCGGTAAGGCTTGGTGTTGATTGTGGTGTTAAGCATGGAGATGTAGCCACAGCAGTGATCGAGGTCCAGTTGTTCGTCGAGTTTTTGGATGGCAGGGTGAGCAGCAATGTTGTCCATAGAGAAGCCACCTAATGGATGGATAGAAGGTTAAATGGGAAGAGAGAAGGGGAGAACGAAAAGAGATGGAAGAAGGAATGGATAGACATAGATAGAAGTAATGAAGGGAAGTGAAAAATAGTTGGATGGATAGATTAAAAAAAAGAGAATAACTAAGTGGACGGATGGAAGGGATAAATGGATGAATTAAAGCAATACCAGCACAAAAAAAGGTGGATGAAAAATGGTTAAATGAATAATATGGCTGGAATAATGAACTAGATGGGAAATGGAAGTGGATAGATAAATGAATGAATAGACAGCCCAGCGATGAAAGAAACAGAAAGAAGACAGTCTTTCTAACTCTGTCCTCCAAGATGCTACTTCCAACACACTAACCTTCATTAATTTCYAGAGGAAAGGCAACATGTATAACCTTCCCCTCTGAATGGACTCCATGGGCCTGTGGGACAAACAGACGTGACATCAATAAATAAACTTGTATGACACCAATCACTGATGGAGACAAATCTGGACATACCTGGACAAGGACGGCAGAATGTGAAAGTGCATCATTCAGAGCCATTAAGACATTGGAGATGGGTACAACACCTGGATCATGACCCCAGGTTGTTATAAGAAGGTTTTCATAGTCCTAAAGGGGAAATAATTAGAAATAAAAAATAAAAAAACGATCAATCATTTTGGTGCAATGTTTTCCCATTTCAGATCATGTGTTTTTTTTTAAACATTTTTATTAATCATTAAACAAATAAAGTAATTACAAGTACATAAATTTACTAGGTTTTTTCCTTAATTTTAAAATACTGTACTTACAGCATTTTTACTTTTCGAGATATTGAACATTACTTACAAGATTCAGAAACAAAAATTGACAATAATAGGAAAAGATAGAAAAAAAAAAAAACAGAAAGAGAAAAGAGAAATATTGTGTCATTCCCTAGAGAATAAATTCTTTGCTTGAGTTGTATTAATATCCACGAGTCTTTTCATGTCCAACTGTTAAACAAAGTTATCAAACTCATGAATAATTCATGAGGAAAACACAACAGAAATCACGACCGTGAAGAGTGTTGTAAATCAGATACARAATCCTGTTCATTTGCATAAACTTTAAGTTGGATTTTCTTGGCCAGATTCACTTTAATTTTAAAAATTTTAGTGAAACACAAAGGAACTAACCTAGACATTTGATAAGTCATATACAGTATTCTTGTCCATGTTGTATCCAATATACAATCACTCGGCTACGCCTCGTGGTCGTATATCTGATACAACACGGCCACTCATACTGTATATATTACAAATGATACTGTAGGGAACGACATGTGGTTTATTATGAAAAAAACATTGCACCATGAAGAATAAGGTCTATTTAAGTGTATACTTTCTTTGTTTAATCTTATGTGATTCTTACCTCGAATAAAGATGGTAGCCATCGTAATCTAGTGCCTTTGACAAGTAATAAAGAYGGTGGACCACTCCCTACTAGATGATACAGAAACAGCTTGAACCAGACAGAGTTGACCTCAGGGATGGCAGGACCAAGATGAGGAGGAACACAACTTGTTACTGGTCGAATCTCGTGACTTAACGGTGCCATGGAAACCAGCATGCTAGAATGTGGAGATATGGGAGGTGAAGGTTAGAGACAGTGAAGGTTAGAGACATTAATGATGATGTCGGCTAATAATGAATTATACCTGAGGCAAAGATGGATAATTTTTATCATGGTGATAAAGATGCAATTGTGTAATAATTTGGCACTGAGGTGATAACCACGTAAAACAATACATCTCATAACGACTATGTTTCTTTGTAAATTAATATGTTTCTGCTGTTACTTCTCTTGCTACTGCTGTTGTTGCTGCTGCTG